AAAGACTTATTCTTAACCTCCACAAGGTGTCTGTTGTAGCCTACAAATAAACCATGCAGAGAACTCATTCCCTTGCTAGAGATCATTAAGCAACACGCCAACCCCATAAGTATGGGGCTAGTCGTGCACGAGGTTGAGAGCATGATAGGAAGAGTCTCGGCCACACCTGTTCGGGAGATCGTGACACCCAACCGACATGAATGAATACAACAAAAGACTTGAGGTCGAGGGCTAATCAGACGCACAACACACGCAAATGGTCACCATGAGATGCGCGAGTTCAAGAGGTGAGAGTCAAAATCGCTAATCCTATCCCATAGACCGTGTAAGTCGTCTTAAAGTTGACTTAATCAAAACATTAAGATCTTGATCCTAAACTTAAGATCCACTGCACTTATGATTAATTTCATAGGATTCAATTAGAGAAAATAACCGACGTTCTTCCTGCTGAACCCAACTCCCCACCTCACTAATTCATATGACTCTCTAATTAGGTCTTTTACACCTTCTTTCTCTTTTTAAGTAAATTGCGGACTTCTCCTCGACCACACTAGGTCGGATATACGTATGCCCTTTCTGTAAACAAGTTTTCACGTAATTCTGTATGAATAAAATAACATTCCCATCCTAAGTTGATGTTGGCTAGGGATTTCGAACCTATTCTTTTTTTTTTCGATATTTTTATGATGTCAAATTTTAAAATGTATCCACGACCTCACGTCTCATAATAACTCTAATGTCATGAAGGACCTTCCTTCCAGCGTGTCCTCTTAGAAAACCCAAATTTTCTACATTCGCACTAACACGTATGAAATGGCAAAGGTCCAAGTGTCTTTGTGAGTACATCAGCTATTTTGTCTTCAGAAAGAACAAGTTGTAGACATATGATGCTCTTTGACAACTTCTCTCTACTCAAATGACAATCTATTTTTATATGCTTGGTTCTTTCACGATGAACTGGATATGATGAACTGGATATTTGGCTAAAGATATGGCGAGTTTACTATCTGAAAACAATAACACATGAGATAAATAAGCAATATGTAAATCAACACGTACATATAGTAGCCATTGAGCTTCACATGTAGTGAGAGCTAATGCTCAATATTGTGCTTCATCAGATGACCTATTGACAGTGGACTACTTTTTAGTTTTTCAAGAAACAAGTGATTTTTTTTTTTTTTTAAAAATTATAACTAGTTATACTTTTTCTACTATCAATACAACCAACCAAGTCAGAGTCACTATAACCTTTTATAATCGGATTAGAATGTCTAGGATACAAGATACCTCGACCAATTGTACCTTTTATATACCTGAGGACTTTGTTGGCAGAATTCATGTGTTGTGGAGTTAGACCAGAGACATATTGACTTAAAGATGTATTATGAATTGTCTAGTTATTTGAAGACATGTTGTATAGTAGCAGTCGTAATTAATATGAGAAATCGAATTTTTATTATGATAATTATCACAAAATAATTTTTAAAATGAATACCATTTTATTTATATAGAAAGCCATGCTATTAATCAAATCGCATGATTTAGAGCATGCCCGTACAATTCAATTTTTATTTTTATAAAAATTAAAGTAATTTTTATAGTATTTATTTTAATACTAAGTCAACCTATTTAATTACAAAATCAAACTTAAGATTTTAAATTATTTCATCAACCTCTTTCAACACACACGTGATTATATACCAACAATCGTTTATGTTATTCTTTCAAGTAATTTGGTTGTTTTAGCCTAGAGCTACTTCATGAAATGACTTGGCCTGCGGCCTTTTACTTGTTAGTTGTTACTCTCAACTCGACCAAAATTAGTTCTCAAATTTCCTTTGGCTTCCTCCATTATAGATTAAATCATAATATACTTTGGCCATTCTGCAATTAAATATTAAGCTTAATTAATGTATTTGATTTTTCTTTTTATAATCAACCTAATTAAGATAGTCAATGTTAAAAAATAATATAAAATAACTGAAGTAACTTAAAATATTGTCACAAATTCATATACTCATAGACAACTAATTTAGAATATCATGTTAGTCACAAAACTACTATGACCATGTTTATTTTTTTAATTAGTTATTGATGCAACTCGAATGTTAAAACAAATAACAACAACAACAACAATAATAATATAACAAGATGAGAAATATTACGATCACGTTAAGGAACCATTTTGCCGGGGTGTGTATAACCGTTAGATCAACTATCAACGGTTACATGATGATTAACGGTTACAAATCCCGACTGAATGTTTTCGTAACAGAACTGGAACATCTCCCAAATAATATAATAAGTAATAATAATAATAAAAAAAAATGTCCTGCATATATTTCCACCTGAATCATTCAACCTTGGCCAACTCCAAGTTTGAAGTCTCCCATCCAGAAGGATTAAAACAAGTCAAATAACTCCTTAGAAAAACAGAATCGAGAACCAAAACGAAGAAACACAAACAAATTCCCAACAAATAAATAAATAATAATAATAATAATAATAATAATAATAATAATAATGTTCGTCTTCGTCACAGCCTTTCTCCTCTGCAATTCATCCTCTCAAAGGGTAATTTAGTCCTTTCCAATTTCAATAATTATCTCTTTCAATCTTTTTTTTTTTTAAAAAAAAAATTAA